TACTGCAGTTGGGTGTGTAGAGCCACTTTCCCGTACACTCTCCACTCTCCTGTCCCTTCTTGCCTCCAGCTGGTACGTGCACGCTGCACAGCCCCATGAAGGTAGCTCTTCTTGGCCTTCTCGGGGCATGGAATGACACAGAAGAGGGTGGAGCCAGGACAGGGACACCCAAAGCAGCAGGGATGCACGTGTAGCAGCAGGGCTGTGTGGAGTCCTGTGTGGAAGGGGACTCAGAACAATAGGTGTGATGGCAGGAGCATTGGAAGAGCTGGAGCAGTGGTAAGGGAGTCTGAGCAGCTGGGGTATGGGGTATGGAATATGAGGATCGGAGCAGTGAGGGGGAGTGTTGGAATAGTGCAAGAAAGAGCTATGCCGTAGACGATGTTGGGGTGGCTTCAGCTTTGCCCCCTAAAATCCCCACATCAATCAATCAATGAGGGGTACTTACATGGCCTCTGTCACTGTAGTAGCTGAGTGCCTCACAATCTGTAATTTATTTATTCTCAAAGCACCCCTGTGAGGTAGGGAAGTAACAATTATTCCCATTTTTACAGATGGGGAAACTGAGACACAGAGAGGCACTCTTGCACAAGTGACTTGCCTAAGGTCACACAAAAAATCTCTTGCGGAGCAGGGGATTGCTTCCAAGTATCTCAAGTTCCAGTTCCTAACCACTGGACCATTTGTCCTTTCATGTCCCCCCTATATCTGTTCCCCTCCCTTCAGAAAATGCCCTCACTGACTCAGTGCATGTCCCTGCATTGTTCCTACATTCTCTCCCCAGATCCTCAGCCTGTGGATCTCATTCTGATGCCTGCCTCTCCATGGAAAGGACAGGTGGGAAGGGAGAATCAGGCTGTGCTGTACAGGCAAAGAGACTGGAAACAAGGAGATGATGCAGAGTCAACAAAGGAACTAACATGCAGCCAGTGCATTCTGTGGCCAGGGTAATCATTGCCAAGGTATCAGAGGCAGTGGAGTGGGAGAGCTGAGCTCTAATAAATAGGCCTGTTGAGAAATTCTTTAAAAAAAAACCAAGGAAATTAATTGCCCCAAAACTTCGATAATGCAGAGTTAAGGTTGCCCCGTGGCCTTCTAGAATGTGAAGAATGGCTAAACTTAAACTTCGAAAATCAGGAAACAAAGAGTTATTGTGACACAAATGTAAACCTCTGAAAAACAGAAAATGCAGAATTAAGTTATATATTACCCCGTCTGGAGTGGAGGGGCTGGTTTGAAGGGGGAAGCGGGGGCCAGAGACATGGTTTGGGAGGCATACCTTAACGGTTTATTCCTTGTTTTTCAGAAATTTGAGTTTTGCTGAACTCCATGTTCTGGAAGGGCATGGGATTCCATTGAGCAACCATAACTCTGCATGAATTAAGTTTTTTGTCAGTGGATCAAGAGCTATCACTGCAGGGTAGCACACACCAGGCTTCTGTAGGCCAAGCACATTTCACACACCAGGATCTTGTTTCATTCCTCCAGCCCTCTGACTCCCAAACCTTTGTGTGCCATCTTCCCTTGCCCCTCTCTTTTAGTGACTGTGCAGCTCCCTCCACCCTCTTTGTAATAACCATTTTGTTTTCCTTAGAGGAAAAAAAATTGTCTACTTTTGTGAGTGAAGAAAGAAGCTTACATGTCCTATAATGAAAGAGTGCTAGATGGCATGCATACACGTTGTAAGAGAGGGCATCCATGCTTTGCCTAACTGAGGGACACATGGCAGTTTGCCAGGAGTCAAAGGGCTGCAGCTGGCTTTTCTGTCATATAATGTTGTTGGTTTTCTTAAAGCAATTACAATAATATAATAAAAAGCACATCATGAGCATTAGAAAAGACGGGGTAAGAAGAGAGGAGGGAAGGACTGTCACGAATACGGGCAAATAAGTATTATATCTTCTCCAGATATTTCTATGAAATCTGATAGAAGTTTCCAAGTTTGACTAATCTTTTGTTTGTTTGTTTACTTTTTGCATACTTATGTATTAAGATTTTATTAAGGAACTTAGTAAATTATAATGTAGCTACAGTTTTCCAATTTATCATATTTCTCTGAATAACTGACAGGGAAGACATTTGGAATGCCTGGCAATCCAAACTGGTGGATCTGATGAGATAGCCAAGGTTTTTATTTAATAATTTGGGGGGGAAAAAACTTGGTATACCCGATGCTAAAAATCCCATGCTAAGGAGATCTTATTTTGGCGAAGACACACTGTATTGCTGTACAGCTGGAAGAAGAAACTACAACTAGAAAAAATTATCTTAGAGATCACTAATCTTAGTGATAGAGAAACCGATTAGCTCATTAGCAGTCTCAGAGGAACAACTCTTCTTATTAGCAAAAAGAATGAGGACTACTTGTGGCACCTTAGAGACTAACAAATTTATTTGGGTATAAGCTTTCATGGGCAAAAAACACTTCATCAGATGCATGGAGTGGAAAATACAGTAGGTAGGTAGATAGATAGATAATATACATATACAGAGAACATGAAAAGATGGGGCTTGCCATACCAATCCCTCAGACAGAGACAAACACCTACAAGATCTCTATCAGGCGTTCTTAAAACTACAATACCCACCTGCTGAAGTGAAGAAACAGATTGACAGAGCCAGAAGAGTACCCAGAAATCACCTACTACAGGACAGGCCCAACAAAGAAAGTAAAAGAATGCCACTGGCCATCACCTTCAGCCCCCAACTAAAACCTCTCCAGCGCATTATCAAGGATCTACAACCTATCCTGAAGGATGATCCCTCACTCTCACAGACCTTGGGAGACAGACCAGTCCTCGCTTACAGACAGTCCCCCAACCTGAAGCAAATACTTACCAGCAACCACACAACAAAAACACTAACCCAGGAACCTATGCTTGCAACAAAGCCTGTTGACAGCTCTGTCCACATATCTATTCAAGGGACACCATCATAGGACCTAATCACATCAGCTGCACCACCAGGGGCTCGTTCACCTGCACATCTATCAATGTGATATATGCCATCATGTGCCAGCAATGCCCCTCTGCCATGTACATTGGCCAAACCGGACAGTCTCTACGCAAAAGAATAAATGGACACAAATCAGAAGTCAAGAATTATAACATTCAAAAACCAGTCAGAGAACACTTCAGCCTCCCTGGACACTCAATTAAAGACCTAAAAGTCACAATTCTTTAACAAAAAAACTGGAATTAATTTGCAAACTGGACATCATTACACAGACTAAAAACTATTTCCCCATGCTAATTTCCCCCTCTACTGTTACTCACACCTTCTTGTCAACTGTTTGAAATGGGCCATCCTGATTATCACTAGAAAAGTATGGTATGGCAACCCCTATCTTTTCATGTTCTCTGTGTGTGTGTATATATGTGTGTGTGTGTGTGTGTGTGTGTATATATATATATATATATACACACATATATCTTCCTACTATATTTTCCACTCCATGCATCTGATGAAGTGTTTTTTTTGCCCACGAAAGCTTATGCCCACATAAATTTGTTAGTCTCTAAGGTGCCACAAGTACTCCTCGTTCTTTTTGCTGATACAGACTACCACTCTGAAACCTGTCTTCTTATTAGGTATTACTTATGCTAATCAGTATCAGCTATACAGATGCCCCACTTTTATTCTGAAAACCATCATTTACCATGCTTGTTTAAAGAGGGAGAGCTTATTATTCACTTGACTCTTTAGTGCTGGTAACTAAAACAGAATTACTGACCTCACAGAAAAAGAGTTATTTGTTTGATAACTTTAGTGACCCTAATCATCATAGCTGCAGGTACCTTCATAAGTTTGTATTGGCCTGGCAACTAGAATTACCACATGCAATATGAAGCCATTGTATTTGCACTTTTAAATGAAAATAAAAGTGGTGCCAAGATGGGAAATAATTAGGGATTTTCCTGTTGCATCATCAAAGATAACCTAAATTGCCTACTACATTCCAGTTGCTTAAAATAAATATTGCAGTCATGCAGCCACCTGTTTAGGGTCCAAAGTGTATAAACATTAATATATCCATCTAACTAGATGGTGAACTTGTCTGACTTAAATGCAGTCTACAGGTCAAAATACAACCTAAGAGTTCAAGAATGTAGCATGTAGATGCCCCTGGATTACTTAAGTTTAGAATACACAACGATCCATCTTTTTCTAAGCAGCGAGCTTGCTCCTTTGGTCAAAATGGGACTTTGCATAATGGGATTTGTAGCCTCTGTGAGGCACATTTTTATATTAAATATAAAGGCAACTGCAATCAGCACCATTTTGTCAAGTTAGATGCAGCTGAAAGGTTGTATTTAATTTTCCCTACAGATGGTCTGATTAACTTCCATTAAACTTAGTGGAAAGTCTTTCATTGATTTCAGTCCAAGTTGGATTCAGCCCATAGTGACTGTTTTCTTCCCATCTCTCTCTGCTCCATATCTTCAGTTACAGAAGATTTTGTTAGGGGCATTAAATATCATAGCATCTGTTAATTGTCCACATTCAAGGTTACAGCAGTGTTAACACCAAAAGAATAATAAAAATAATAAATGAGGCTACTTTAAACTTCCATTAAACCTATTCTACTGTAAAACTAGACTATGAATAAATGCTTGAATTATTATAAATAAATCTTTCCAGGTTTGGGGCCTAATTTTCAATACTATATGTTCCAAAACATTATAGATGATTTCTTGTAAATAACTTAAAATGCATCTCAGATATTCACACATTCCAATGATATTACAGATGTATATACACGTGCCTTATTTTTTTAAGTTAACACCTTTAAAATTATTATTGAAGAATAAGTTAGCTCTTTCTTGTGATATTAAATATCCTTACCATGCATAATCTATACTCCACACCTGCAATTCCACTAACAAGTCTGCAGATCATGCATGTCTATGCTTGTATAAAGTATTTTAAAGTCTGCCATTCCTTTCTTTTGCCCTTTAATTTTTCTAATACATTTCTTTATTATTATTATTATTATGCAGAAAAAGCAAAGAACAAAGGATCTATCCCAACTATTTCATTCATACAGTCCTTATGATCATAAGGTAAGAAAAAAATACACTGGCAGTATTTTTTGTTTAGAACAATTTCAAACATTTAAGATAACTATCTTGTCTGATCAGCATAAAGGTGAAAGGGAATGATGAAGCTCTTGAAGTGTCTCTAAGGTATCTTAACTTTCTTTTAATTGTAATATGTTAAATGTATAGGGATATATTTGTTCATGCCTAAGCCTGAAACTAAATTTCTGGATTTGGTATTTGTGAAACATACAGCTCTCACTAACCTTCCAGAAATATAATATATGGATTTACAATGAATCTTACAAAAATCAACACTTGTTGTATTTGATACATTTTTTTTAAGCTTGTTCCTCTTGAGTACATTGATTAGCTTGTTATGCCCATTAAGCCTTGAAATATGTGACACTAATGGATTACCTTGATTCTGGAGGTATGATTGGAGGAGGTTGCTTTGTTAATAGAAAGCCTGCTGGACATTCTGAGGAAGAAAATACACCTAATAATTCATGAGTTTGTTCCTTTAAGCATTTGTCAGCAATATGTGATCTACTTTTGTGGTGTTGCTGTTTTGTGAAGTATTTGTGCAATTTGGAAAATATTGGAATTTTTAAGAAGTAATAGTGAGACATCTGTCTTGTCCTGCTAGTACGTTATGACCCTGTGTGGAGCAAATAAATGTGTGTTGGAAATAGAGCACTCTTTCTTGAATAACTTCATGCAGTTTGTTACTATATTTCCATACCAACCAATTACCTCGAGCATTGACAAATTTTCAAAAGCATTAACAGTGATATATAATTATTGAAATTATTTTCAAGTTACATCCTTCACTTTGAAATGTCTTTTTTGTAGACAGACTTCTATCATTTGTATAGTCTGTATAGTGCAGATGTTAAGGGCTGGTGGAAATCGACAAATGTTATGAGTAAAAGAAATTAGTGACAGGATTTCTGATGGGAGTATTGCATTTTAAAGCTGGAGCAGTTTAAGGTAAATGTAATAATAGGTCAATTAAGATCTAATAAAGAGAAGCAACTGAAGAGCCAAAAGCTTTGATACTCTTCTTCTTGTCTAAATTCTCCTGTGCTAAACACTTTTTTTAATTCATCGCACAAGGAAATTCCATTATTCTTTTATTAGCACTCTTAATGGAGCTTGGCCATTTGTAACTCCTGCTGCCTTCCTGTTCATATCCTTTGTGGCATTATATCAAAGTATCCTCAAATGATTTTGGCTTCAGTTGTGAAGACTTATACACTCCTTTACAAATTAGTCATGAAGCGATGTGGAACTGAATATAAATGCTTAGATATATTTCCTTTTGATCTTTGTTTTAGGACCTTTAATAAATTATTAAAAGTAACAGAATTGCTTGATGAGTGATTTTTAAAGCTAACAAGGTTTACTCTTTTGGCACTTTCATTCTTGCTCCATTTATGCATGTGTGCGCCTGAAAGAGTAAAAGGAACAAGAAAAGAAATGGAAGTGTAAGGGGAGACTCTTCCCTCCCCATTTTTTAAAAATTCTGCCTATGAAGGTTTTCTTCAGTGCAATTCTCTCCCCGTTGGCAATGGGCCTAGAGAACCAGCTGCAAGTGTTCTGGCTGCATGCACTTAGTTTCCAATTTAACCCTTCATTCTAATATCCTAGTTTTTAATTTTAATCACATGAATCCAAATTGTATAGATAGTTCAGATAAATCAGTCATAGTTCAAACCCAGAAGGGATCATGTAGTCTGACCTCTTATATCACAGGCCAGCAACACCATCAGAACCAACACGCGACACCCAACAACCAACTGCAATGTGATTCAAAACTCTATTTTGTAAATGAAGATTTCAATTTTACAAACACTAATTGCTGCACTTAAACTAGGGTTGGATGAAATGTGAATTATGAAAAGTATATTTTTAAACATTAGCATATTTAATTATATTATGTGACACTAATGTACAGTTTTCAAGTGAAAAATGTAATTTCTAAAATGCATCATTTGGTTAAAAAATAAATCAAATAATTTTATGTGGAGAACTCCCCAAATACTTTGCTTATTAAAAGGCCACTGTGAATGATCCTATTATCGACATGTGCTTAACGTCTTCCAGAATTTACAATTTTACATAGCTTTTCTAGAAACAGATTTCACCAAATTCTCTTTTTTTAACTGTTTATATAGGCCTCTGTGGAGAAATACAGAGATCCATTTCTGAGCAATTTATTCCTATTTCTGAAATACTTGCCTTTGTGCCTGTGTTTATATAGGGCATGGGTCTTAAAGATTTAAAATCCAGCATTCTTGGTGGCTGAACACTGCTGTTATGTCATCTTTTTGTTTTAGGTGCATTATCTTGTTACAGCACTACTATTTCTGCAATAGGATATATAGAAATAGATAGATAGATATTCTCCTGAGACCGTCATAAACATGAGATGTGTTTCTCAGAAGGCTATCACAGTAAGCAAAGCTTTAAATAAATTAAACTTAAAAATTAAGGATTTTTCTTAGTTCTTCAGCTACACCATTCTCACTTAAAATATTTTATTGAATTTAAAAGCATGTGTTGACAAAAAAGAATGCCATTGAAGCCTTTACAGTCTGCATTTTAGTGATTCAGTGTTGTACTGACAAAAAGCTTTGACTCTCCCATCTGTAGAGAATGCTTAGCTTTTCTAATATTTTTCTCACAAATCATACTTGTCCTTTAAAACCACTAACCTTGCTGTTAAAAGATGATAAAGCAGTTGTGATAATAGTTTGATGGGTCAAAACTACTTAAATTTGGCAAGCTTTATATGTTCTTCAGAGCCCAATACGCACAATGTGTCCAGATTCAGCACTACAGAACCTGGCATAGTCCGTGTCCTTTTTTGTTGTTGCAGGGTAAGCCCAAGTTTCGTATGGTCACACTAGCAGTGATTAGGGTGACCAGATGTCCCGATTTTATAGGGACAGTCCCGATATTTGGGTCTTTTTCTTATGTAGGCTCCTATTATTCCCCACCCCCATCCCGATTTTTCACACTTGCTGTCTGGTCACCCTAGCAGTGATTATCCCCTCACTAGAAAAAGGTATGTGGTTTATGGCTCTTAATATGCAGAGTGCCTATTTTCACATAGACATTCATCCAGCCCACAGACATTTCCTGAGGTTTACAGTCGGCTCACAACATTTCCAATACCGAGTTCTTCCCTTTGGAGTTGCCACTCCTCCCAGTTATCACCAAGGTTTTCTCCATTGTGGCAGCCCACATCAGGCATTATGGCGTCCTCATGTTCCCATATCTTGACAACTGGCTCCGGGCGGCAGAGTCCAGACATGAGGCCCAAGTTTCAAGCTCCATGTTGCTCAGCTTCCTTTCTTCCTTCGGAGTCAGTATCAATGCCAAAAAATCAACTTTAAACCCCACACAATGCCTAGACTTTATAGGGGCCACCATCAACTCCATCATGGCATGAGCCTACCTACGACGAGACAGGTTCCAGAGTCTGCAAGAACTCATAACTCGCGTAGTCAACAATCCTTTGGTAATGGCCAGGATTTGTCTATCCCTCCGGGGCCACATGACCTTGTGCACATACATCACCATCTTTGCTCGACTTCACCTTGGCTGCCTCCAGATGTGGCTCCAGACAGTTTACTTGCCCAATCATCATACCATGGACCTCAAGCTAGCAGTTCCCCAAAAGGTAATCTCATCCCTCCAATGGTGGAGGGACCCAGGTCAGATCTGCATAGGGATTCCCTTCCTACCCCTCTCCCCGAACAAGACTATTATCACCAACGCCTTCCTCCTAGGATGGGGAGCGCACATGTCTGAATACATGCCAGAGAGAACATGGACTCCTTGGAGCTCCAAGCAGTAAGGAAGGCATGCCAAGCCTTTCTTCCACTCATCTGTTCTCATCATATTCTCATCATGTCAGAAAATACCATGACTGTGCTACATCAACAGATGTGACGAGACTATGCTCAGAAGCAGTCACCCTTTGGAACTGGTGCATCCCCTACTAGATTGTTATTTGCCCCTTATCTTCCAGAGACACAGAATGTTATTGCAGACTCGGTCAGCAGATAGTTCGTGGTAGACCACAAGTGGGAACTCCATGACACCATTCTACAGGACACCTTCAGCAAATGGGGAACTCTGACCAGAGACATCTTTGCCTCCCCATTCAATAGAAAATGCACCTGGGACACCACTCTCAGGGCAATGGTCTTATCCTCCCCTGATCGGACCAACTCAGTTACACCTTTCCTCCTCTCCCGCTCCTACCACGAGTGCTTCACAAGATCAGATGAGACAAAGCGACAGTCGCCCTGATCACTCCCTACTAGCCCAGACAATTTTGGTTTCGCAACCTCCTTTGTACGTATGTCTGTCCCCCAATCCCTATTCCTACTCTCCTTGATCTCCTCACACAACACAACAACAACATCATCCATCCCAATCCACAGGTGCTTCACCTCAGAGCCTTGTATTTGGATGGGCATCTTCTCTAGAACGGGCATGTTCATCAGACGTGCAGAACATCCTCTCCAGCAGCAGAAAGGACTCCACTAGGTGCTATTTCCAAGCCAAGTGGAAATGCTTGGGCAAAACACAATGGACTTTCCCTAGAAGCAGTGGGGATTCCCCTCTTCCTGGATTACCTCCTGTCCTTAAAGGCATCAGGTCTTGCCCTCAGCTCTCTCAAGGTCCACCTAGTGGCAATTAGCGCCTTTCACCCCCTGGTGGAAGGACACTCCATCTTTACCTATTTGTTGGCTGCTAGGTTTTGGAAGAGCCTCATCAGAACCTTCCCAGCTGTACAACCCATTGCTCCCCAACGGGATTTCAACCTGGTTCTATCTGTACTAATCAAACCGTCCTTCATACCGTTGGCATCATGTTCTATGGCGCTCCTTTCCATGAAGCTTACTTTCCTTGTTTCTGTCACATTGGCGAAAAGGATTGATGAGCTCAGGGCCATGACATCAGAACCTCCTTTCATGACTTTCTGTAAAAATAAAGTATTCGTA